ACAACGAACTGGCAGAATCACGCATCGCGCATCACGAATCGCAAGTAGGTACATGCAGTCTGTAGCCATCTTTTAGACAAAAATAATGTTGGACAATACTCTTTCAAAATTTTGATTAGCAATTAATCTACAGTGATATTTATTAAGAAGTAGACATAGTAGACCAAGAGCCAGCGATATTTTTTGAGTTATTTCATTAGTCATGAAAATGTTTTCACTGAATATGCAATATTTGTTTACTCACAAAAACCACTTCTGGCAGCCTCTAATGGCCGCGTTGTACTACCCTACATTTCAAAGTGGGTTGAAAATAAGAATGAATTTGTATTAGTCATGAAACTTTAGGAAACTATTTTTGATAGTATTGTGAATGTATAAACAATTTGCCAGAACACTTGTGTCGTCGTGTTTGTGTTTAGTTATAGAAAACGCAAGTTATGAGTGTTAAGGATTATTTAGCCTACGGTAATTAAAACTTAATTTAAATTTGTTCAATAGATCGCTTGTGCATGGTACATTATTTACAAGCCATGTGTGCCTCTCTTTATTACAGCGTTATTGATGAAATTAAAATAAATTTGTTCCATCAATGGTTAGTTTTGTGTTTAATCAAGCCCAAATTACGACCTAGATAAGGAGTTTTCATGGTAAATTTTTCTGTTGGTACCCAGGGTCCCAGCTGGTAGAAGTTATGTAATATGATTCTTTGTAACTGTGGAGTTGATCAAGGCTACCGAGTTTTCTCTATAAGATTATTGTAATTATAGTTATTGGTCCGGTAGTAAGCCATGTTAGGTTATGTTCATTTAATATAAAATGACAATCTCATGTTAATGTACAAAACCTAGTTGCCAGATTTAGTTTTGGATTTTGTGGTACTTTTATATAGTACAGGAAAATTGTCCAAAATAGACAAGAAAATTGCGAAGTAGTTGAAACTTGGTATAGACGTTTGAAAATACACATATTTCAAGGAACCGAAGAGTCCCTAACCACAAGAGGTGTGCTGGAGTGGTCATGCTCAAAGAACGTAGGGTGAACTGAATTTTCACTTTTTTAACAGGAAGTGGCAGTTAAATCCTATCAAAAAAGATACTTTGTGACATTTGTAGCGCATTTTTTAAGAATTAACAAAAAATGTGCTATAGTATGCGTTTTGTCCGTCCGTCCGTCCGGACCCACTTTTACCGGTTTGAACTACGTTTAGGGAAATGGTACTAGAGTCCTGGAATAGGTAGCCTATATCTTGAAGGTGTGCCAGGCGGCCATCATATTTCGCTGTTTTCAGCCCCCCCCCCCCCATTCATTCTTTCCTGAGATGCTGTTTTTGATAGTACAATGTGCATAACTTTTACATACGAAAACCAATTGGTTTGAGATTTTGTATACGCATGCCTTTAGTGGTGCCAAGTAAAACTTTTGTAAACGGAGGGGGGGGGGGTAAACACACACGTTCTACCTTTCATGGTATTCTAATGAAAGGTCTCATTGAAATAAATTGGTGTGTACAAACAAACTAAACTATTACTTTCCCGCGCGACTCTTTCGAGATCAGTGGGTGACGGGGTCGTAAAGATGTTTGAAAATTTGCTCCATGTATGCAACCGTACTGTTGCACAAAATAAGTTGTAGTACACTTGTACGGATTGCGGTTCTCGCGTCAAGAGTGTTCTAATAGGCTACAATGAGCCGTTGATTTTCTTCCATCCCCACTGTTCGGTATTTTTGGTACTACGAAGCCATATCTGAATTTGGTAGAATACTCGTGAGTAATGCTGAGCGGCGGCCACTCAAGTTAGTGGTAATAATTCGGCCCTGATTTTTGCTTTTGCAGCAATTTTTTAAATTGGTAAAACCTATATGAATTAACGGAAGATTTCAAATTTTCTTCTCGCCGTATACCATCAGAAAAATGCGTTCACCAGCTTCTCTTACTTATAATAGGGTTGTAATTTTGGTCATTGAAGGTTCTCACTATAGCTAATTGCATTTTGTTTTGCAAGAGTTTGAAAAATGGTAATTTTTGCTTCTGAAACATACAATATGTGGTATCACTACTGCAAAAATTTTCTTTTTAGTCTTGCCTTTATCTGACTTTATCTTTATATTTTTTGATGTTAAAGGCAAGAGAACAAGACTACACGCATGTTTCTCTATTGTTAAACATTTCTATTGCGTCATACTTTCATTAAAAACAAACCGATACAACAAAATATCGAAGGATCCTCAGGATTACCATCACTTTTTTAACGACCATTTATTTTTATCTTGAAAGATACATATAGTCAACAAAAATGCATCAATTCATGTCTTGGGCATTGAGATAATGCTGTTAGTGTTTTTCCAAACGATCTTGGTGCATAAATAACTATTTTGAAAACTTGGATGGAAATACGTATGGCTGCCAAAAAAGGCATTAAGATTCATGTCTTGGCCATTGTCCTTGGTCTTTTTCCCAACGATCCCGGTGCAAAAATAACAACTTTGATATGTTTTGATCAGAACACGTCATAAACAGCAGAATTTTTTGTCTTCCTTATTTCGCCGGTGCCTTTAAACACTGAAAGTGGATACGGAGCAAGTTCATACTTGAAGACTTCCACGAGATCATCCTATTGGTTCTGCGTATACAGTAAAAATCCGATCCGGGAAAACTTTACTGTGTGAACTAGCCGTTACGACAGGTGGGCGAGCGGCGCGAAGGTTTTTAAACCTTCATTTTGGGCTGAGCACACTATGTAACGCTAGGGACTCGTCGAATTCTTAAACAGAATATATTTATGTATAAGTACACAAAGTTACAAAGACTTCGCAATTTTCTTGGATATTTGACGAATTTGGATGCAATTTGACTGTACTAATAGGTTAATACGTATAAATTTCATGAGAAACAACTTGCTGAATCCGTTTCAACTTTATTGAGTAGGAAAATTATTAATTTTTTTTTTTCAAAAGGCTGTTATATATGAACTTATTTACAATTATAGGTTGGCAGATTGGTGGCGGTGTATTTATTGCTTCGGCGTTGGAATTGGAACTAAATGAATCACAATTTCGTTACGTAGCAAAATGCGGTCTTATATGAACGCTCTAACTAGAACAAAACACGTCATATTTCTCGGAAAGATTGCATCACGTCTGCCTTCGTTCTTTATCATCGATAACTAATCATTCATGGCACCTCGATGTCTATCGGAATTTCTTGAATATTCGATACACTATCGAAATAGAAACTTTCAAAAAAAAATTTTCGACTCCCCTAAAGTTCTCAATAATTTCAAGAAAATTATACACAACCTCACGCAAAAATTGCAACTCGATAAACCCCCCCCCCCCCTCCTCATTTCCCATACGAAATCTTTACCTCAACAAGGCGGGGGAGAACAGGAAGGTTAGCTCTCGGTATCCAGCGTGTTCGAGGGAAAACTACCGAAAAGCGCATATTTACTCAAAAAGTTCTAACGTCTGTACCGCGCGATCAGTCTTGACCTAGGAGAGCACTAATCGCACGTAATGTTAAGTACCTCTGTATCTCTCCACCTTCGTTCGCTACGAATTGTTAAACTTGCCACTTTACCGCCCTCCCCATGCTTCTTGAGATGGAATTGCCGATCCCCCAGGTTCACTATTGTAGCGAATTTTCTAGAACGTTGTTACGTTCACTTTCAGCAAATCGCCTTTAGATGAGCACACGGTAAGCTCAGGCAAAGTAGGGCCGAGGTGAGTAATGGGGTTCTCATACAACGTGTCAACGTTTAACTTTAACTAAAATTTTTAGCAAAAAAAGGATCAACTCGTAGTCTGTAAATTATCGATATCAAAACAGGCTTCCGCAAAAAACAACAGAACTATAACTGTTAAATGACTATTCAAATAAATGTAGTAATTACAATTCGATTGTATCGATACCCAGTATGTAATCAACTATTATATCACGGAGTCCTTGAAAATAACAATATTACCTTTAAAACTGGTCGTAACGGCCTTTTGCGCTCGGAAGGGCGCTTTTTTGCCTTATCTGTAACGGATAAAAACACAAACAAAAAAAAAACAAGAGGGATAGTGAATAGTGCGCCACATAAATATTTCAGTAATTCGAATACTAAAACCGTAATTACTTAATAAGAGACAATAATTCAATTTGCGTTAACTAAACAAAATCAAAATTGTAGATATCGGTTTCGGACTAGGCCTCGTAACTTCAAAAACTAATTTACAAAGCACAGGTAGCTAAATATTGGTAAACAGATTAATATAAAGGATCTGAAACGTAGTTGAGCTAGTAAGAATGAATTTTCGGAGTGACAAAAGTATAATGTCTCGGATGGTATATCCTTCGTAATAACAAAGTAAGAGCAATAATCTCCAAAAGGTTTCGTAATACTTGCAGTTAAACAGCAACAAATACTCAAGTGTAAATTTTTCGAAGTAGGTAATGTAACATGATATAATGAAAACAAGATATGCTAGATCGCCGTTCTAAATCCGTGTAAGATACTTTTTACTGCTATTAATTAACATTGGCAGGAAACACAAAGAACATGTTCAGACATGTAAATTGCATGCTATTAGAGCCTTAAAAACTCGTCTTGCACTAAAGCGCCATCTGTTTCAATTTTATTTGCTCGTGATTTCATGAGCGCTAGATATTTGGTCAAGTGCAGGATAAGTCCAGCCATTCGACCAAGTTATGTAACTATCATATTTCTTGAAATCAAATGAAAACCCCAGGCGGTACTTTGGACTAATACTCCAAGGTACAAAGAAGAATTCAATCTAAAGGTCGTTACATTAGAGTACATTGAAAATACTTCATGATTGGCAGGCTAAGTGGAGTTGAGACAACTTGCCCAACATGCACAATTTATGATTATATACAAACTTACAACTTTAAACAATAAAAATGCAGGTCTAGGGCAGTAAGTATAACCATGAAATGTCAATAATACTCGATTATGCAAAAACGTAAGTACAAAGTCGTTGTCTAAACGAATACTTACCCGTCTCCAATAACCAGACTCTAAGAAGCTTTAGCAGATGCACGGCGTCTGGAAAATAAAATATAGGCAGCTGCGTACAGGGATGTGCAAAAGTAAAACTTGTCTTCGAAATGGCCAACGGAGTCAACATAGTGCCGTCCCAGTCGTCGACAATTGCAACAACGTTAAATGAAATTTTGTCCAGCGCCGTTATAACTTCGCACAAAATCTCTTTGGTGATCTCGCGGTCGAATTCCATATACACGGGCTGCTTCCAGTTCGCGCATAGCCCCTTGGCCATGATGATTTGGACAAACTTGTATGGGCCCAGTAATTGATGGTTCGATTTTTCGTATTCGTGCACACAACTGACCTTCATTTTACCATATGAGAGCACCGTGGTCTTATCGCGTGATGACAGTTTTTCACTGGATATCTTCATGAATGTCAGCACATCTTCGATCAATCCACGTTTTAAGTTAATCGAAGCGTACCTTTGCAAAGTGCGCAAGTTTGGCAAAGGGTAGTTCTGCTGTTGCATGAATAGGTACGCCCTCTTACTGAGATACCTTAAAGTAAACGCTTTCGTGATGTCTTCTTTAGCCCATTTTACCTTTTTGTTAATATTCAAAATTTTATCCAGCTGTTGAGAAGACAAGGTGCCCTTGAGCAAATCTTTTATTTTCAATTGAAGCTCGTGCTGGGCGAGAACCAATCCTTTACTGTTCATAGTTTTTTGAAGTTGTTTTTCTAATCCGATATTTTTCTGTCTTTCCTGACCTAACTGTTTGGACAAATTGATGTTAGCGTTGAATAAATTGGTGCTTCTCTCTTGTTCTGTTTTGAAATTTTTTTTTAGCGCGTCCAGTTCTGATAGCAGAGATTTTACGTTCACTACAAATGATACACTAGCACAATTTTTCTGGTGTAACTTGGTCACACTTACCATCGTTTCTATGTTCCTCATTTGGCGTTTCGATTAGGCAAATTGTATCTGCTTGTATCACGACTCTTTGTTGGTTACCAGTTAACATCTTTTGCGCGTCGCTGAATTTACCCACCACCACTGGCTGGGGTACAAACGGGGTTGCACTTGAAGCATCGACTTAAAGAAGAAACACTTATAGGGCATTGTATGTAAAAGGGTTACCTACCGTTATTCGTTACATCTATGTCCATAGCAGTTGCTTGTGGTGGGGTTTCTTTATTTATCTGAACGTACTTTACACCAACAGATGGAATAGCTGTAAGTAAAATGTGCAATGTAAATGCAAAAAAGAGCAAATTTCGTGTACAATATTGTGAGTTTTTTTTTAAATTTAATTAACAAAGTAAGATTTGTCCTTTTATTTTTGGCTGGATCGGCTGGTCCATGAAGTACGTCTGTATGAGCAACCTAGTATATTACATTCCCTGTGTAGGGGCAAGCCTTAGGGGGAAACAAGTACCATTTTTGGTGTACAAAAAAAATTCAAAATCAAATTAATTCACGTTAATTCAATTTAATTCACGTTAATTCAAATTAATTCACGATAATTTAAATTAATTCACGTTAATTCAAATTAATTCACGTTAATTCAAATTAATTCAAAGGGGTGTACACCAAAAATCAAAGTTGTTTCCCCCTAAGGCGAGCCTCGGAGCTTCTCTCCAACTTTGGAACCGTGGTGCAGTCTTGGGTTTTGACGACATTTAAAGTTTTTTGTTGTTCGAAGATCCGCCCACAGTAGTTGGTGCAGTAGTGGCGATTAAACACTTGGATGTCAAGGCCCGTACTTCTCAGCTGGGTGCTTAAGGAAGGTGACGTTCCTAGCTAACTATTGAGATTCAAAAAGTTATTAATATGCTAGCGAGTTCCGGGATACATAGGTATTCATAAATAGCAAACGCGTTATCCCTTGGGGAAACTCCGCAACATTTTTGTACAACTTTGCCATTCAAAAAAATTTAAGAAGCCAGATTATTTTAAACCTACAAATAAACAAATGTCCAACCCCGTTTATGCTTCCGGGATAGGATTGTGGTCAATGTTTCGCCTACTTTCGTAAGAGGCTTCATCAGCACAAGAAATGTAATTTTTGTTTTATTATGCGGAAATTACCGATTCGTTTGATGTATGTACTGACTTGTTGTTTGTAACTAACATTTTCCTCGTGAATGAAGCAGTCACGGGGGTGGTAAAAACTGTACCCATTCCACACCTAATTCCGTGATCTTCTTCGACTTTCAACTGTAGGCTCGAAACCCCGAAACTAGGGGCGAGTTACCTATCTTGCCGGAGCGGGATTACGCTAATCAAAGCTCTTCAGTTTAGAATCTATGTGCGATAAATTAGTTACAATTGGTAATTTCCACATAATTATCTTATCTCTAGTTAAATTTGCATATAAGGCAATGTAATTTTCCACCAAAGATGTGTCACATCCTGTTCAACCTTTTTTAGAATCTTGGTACCTGCTTACTTGACTTACTTTATTGGTAAGTTCTTTTTTTTCCCCAGCCTATTTCTATTTTTATTCTTTGACCTACCATTTTCAAAGTTTATTTTTGCAATGTAATTTATTTCGACTTAAATTTCCGAGCTTTTACAATCATAATAATAACGATCATTATTAAAACAAACTTCACAATTTAAGTGTTTTATTTTACGTTCCTTCCCTACTGTGCTTCAGGTCATAGCGTTGTTTACAACGAACGTAAGGGGTTGACTTTATTTCCGTGTTCTTATAGTGTGAAGTTAGCGTAGAACCTAGGGGTTAAGTACACTACACATAGATACGACCTTTTGCCTAACATGACCTTGAACCTAGCCCGACACGAGCTCAAAACAATCCTAACCTGAAACCTAACCTAGAATCTAACCTCACCCTGAACCTAACCTAAACCTGATCTTGAACCTAACTTAAACTTTGAACATAACCTCACATTGAACCCCATAGACCTGGCCTTCAGCCTAACTTGTCCCTGACGTACTATTATATAATAAATCGAAGAATAACCCGTAAAGGTGGCAGAGAAAGAACATCCAGAAAACTTCAACAATTCTTCAGAAAATACAGTTTCTGTTTCTATATTTTTGAGGCAAAATCTTTTGGAGAATTCAATTTGTACCATAAGGGAAACCATCGATTGCAGAAGACGTTATATTTAAGGTAAGGTACCTAATATTTTTTTATTTGTATAAAAAATAACGATCGGTTCTTTTAAGAAATTGGAAAACATTTTTTGAAAGTAATCAATACTAATTCTTTTAAAAGGAATGCACAGGGTGGTTCACTATTGGGATAAGATAAATGAGACATCACTGAAAAACTGAAAATGTCAAATGTCGTTTTATTTTCCCTATCTTAAACGGTCTGAAATGGATGGTTCCCGTTAGCACGTTCTATGGGCGCTTTTTTCGAAGAATCTGAATCTGTTATCAGCATTTCCATAACAAGCTAGCTGTACAAAGCTATAGTCTATTACTACTTACTTATTTCTTATGAGCGCCATGGCCATATTGCATTTTTTACGAAATGAGATAGAGATTTTTGTCAGTATATATTCAATCATTTCGTTTAAAGTGGTAATTATTGTCTGCAATCAAACTATAACTAATGACCAAGTGAATTATAAAAGTGAGTACAAGAAAAGAAGTGTAGTGGCAATATTCGTCAAAACAGCCACAGGGTAATAAAGAAAACGTAGTTCACCTTCTACTGATAAATGGAAGATGAAATAATCCAGCGTTTTATTTTATACACCCAGCGCCGTATTACTGACCAGCTTGCGTTGTTTTTGCGGGACAGCTTCAAATTTGTCTTTTTGGAGAAATTGTACCAAGATATCCAGGAAAATCGAGGGATGGCAGTATAGATATCCCAGACCCCGAGTCTACCAGAAGAGGCGAGAAGGGTACATTGAGTCGACGTAGATCTGCGAAGTTTGATTGGCAATACAACAGACCTGTGGGAATTAGATACGAGGCGTAAAAAGTTCCATCCGTCTGAGGTCAGCCACTGCTACAATTGCAACAATTAAAAAGGTATTTTTTTCTCATTATTTGCGTTTTGATTGCGAAATACGAGTGAACTAAATTAACCTCGAAATTATTTGTGTGCGTCATATCGAACGTTTATTAATAATAATGTATTTAAATGTTGGTTAACCTTTTGTAATTATTGCTATTCTACAAAGGAAAGTAAAAAGAGTATTTTGTGGAGTCTGAAAGCGAATTACGTAAACTCTCCAAAACATATAGGAGTGTACATTTCTAAATCAGCATCCTTCCAAATTTTGATTACAAATTATTGACAATTAATGAGATATCGATGAAATAGAAATGAACAAAATTCTTTCCTATGCTGAAACTATTTTTACCTGGGTTAGCTGGAAGTAAAAGTACAACATAAGTTCCAAAGGTAGGTACTTCAACATAACAAGACGAAGAAATGACAAGAATTTACACCACAAACAATTTTGTTTCACCATAGGATTATTCCTTATTTACATAAACTTCTTATTTGGAACTTACACTTCCTTTTTCCCAAAGAAATTCATGCATAAATAACGATTTCGATATCTTTTGTGTACAAATATTTTAGTCACCAAAAATACACATGAATCACTTCTTGGGAATCAAGCAATCGAATTTGGTCTTTTTCCCGAGAAAATTAATGCATAAATAACCAATTTTGACATCTGTTGATTAAAAATATTTTGGGACCAAAAATGCATATGGATTACTTCTTGGGCATCAAGGAATAGAGTTTAATCTTTTTCCCAAATTGAAGCACAAATAATGATTTTGCTCGATTTTGGGTAACAACCTAATGGATGCCAAAGTTAATTTTTGATAGTTCCACAGCTGGAATGCATTAGCTTTCATATAGCGAAAACCTAACGAGGTCTAGGGACTGAGCTATCAGGGGGAAACCGCTGGACATTACATACAGCAAATGAACTCCAACATCGTCCAATTTCTTTGTATTCAATAAACCTATTTATATGCAATTATTTTTTTCAAATACCTACCTTACAAATAACTCTGTAAATAAAAAAAAATAGTCGTCATTCATTATTATTGTCATTCAAAAGGTGAAAGCACAAATTTGATCTTGTTGTGTAGCACACAAATCCTTTATCGAGATGGATTTCTGGGTTGAAGCCTGAAGGCAATGCAAGCAAAGCTCGAAGCAAAGCAATCAGATGGAATTATAAAACTAATTAATGCATCTGCAACTTAGATGCTTCCAACAAAATCACATGTCTTTGCACCTTACAAAAGACTGTGCTTATCCACTAAGCTTTAACTACCAGTACAGACAGCTTATTTTCGATTATTTCCGAGACAGATAATTTTTCTTCAAATCTTATTGGATCTATTTGGAATTCAAGGGGATTGTGTACACTGAATCTCCAAATAAGAAAATTAGAATCTTCAACAATACAAATTCAAAGACTTAACAAGTATTAGCGGTAACAACAGCATGCACCCTTCCTTTCCCCTACATAAACCCCTAAAAGGAACAACAAATATGTTTCCTGTAGGATTTTACAACACTCACCATTTTTATGAAGTCTTCTTCTGCTACGCGTGCCGCTCTCGCTAAAAGTTGAACAGTTAAAGGAGAAATCTTCGTCCTTAAAATGCCGGGAACAAATTCGGTCGCCATCCCTTGGGATCCAATCCGGCGAACGGTTGCAATACAACCTCCATTTTCTGAAGATCGAAGGATTTTGAGGGAATCTATGAAAACTAACATCCGCGACGGCGACTTTCAAACTTTTGTTATTGCAATGCGAAACCGAACAATATTCGCCGCCCATGTTTGAAAACGACGTTACTTTTATTTACGTTTGGTGAACATAACCTTTTCTAACAGATGGCTGTGACATACACAATGTACAGGGTGGCCAAGTCAAACATTAGCATAAATAAAACACATTGTATTTCTGAGCATTATATATCTGGTTACAACTTTATTCGATTGCTGAAACCGTATACTAATATTTCCCAAAATGAAAATGTTAGACCTAAAAAAGATTTACTTGATAGGCAACCAACAATACTTCACGATAACTATACTGCTCATACTGCTACCTCCTAATGGTTACCAATGTTCGTCCGAGATGGAAGAGATTAAACAAGTTCCCTTCATGGCTTCATACTAAACTAAAACGACTTTTATGTAATAGTTATTATTTACATAAAAGTCAGGAAGATGACACATTATCGGCGAGGAAATATTATAGCACGAGGCCGGCCCTTTGGGACGGAGTACTTTAACTTCCGAGTCAAGTAGTGTCATTTTACTTACGAGTTCTGTGTTAAATTGTACCCAAAATCGTATTTTAATATAAAATTTCAATTTTCATATAGAACTTTATCCGGTTCCGCACTATTTAGGTAAAATCATTTTTTAAGGGTTCTAGTACCGGTTCCGGTTCTGTGGATTCAGTAATTTTCGATTACGGTTCCAGTTTTTTTCGGTTTTTAAGGGTTCCAACATAAATAAATAAAATTATTATTAAAAAATATAAATTATTAATAATGATAGAAAATAAATAATACACACAAATTACATTGTACATTGTTCTTTTGCATTAACATATTGTTTAGTTTGATTGGCATTTACGCGTTCCGCGATCGTTTCACTTCTGTCCACTGCCTGCCTTTTTCTACTTTCCTTTTCTTCAGCAGTAGTTTCCATTATTGCTTTCTTTATACACTCTTCAACTTTTTTACTGTTTTTGATTCATTTTATAGGTATTAGGCACTCTACAGTATGTTATATTTATTTAGTATTAAGGTTAAGTTGGTAGAAGCAATACTCTTTGGTAGAAGTTAGTGGGCAGTTCCGGTTCCGGTACCGGTTCTTTTCGGTTCCGGTTCTAACCCCTGGTCCTAACAGGCCTTTCTTCACGTTTTCGATGGTACATACCTAATCTCCTTGCCGATATCAACAAGACTTTGCTTGAGATCCCAAATGCGCCACTATGAATAACGGCACCGTGTGGTCCAAAATCACTATTACCTCGGTACACCGACGCCACGTATCCATATTGCGTCCGATGTAATCCTCGATTGAACCGCAATCCTCCAGATTTGTAGTTGTCAGAGCGACGGCTGCACTCAACTTCAAATCCTGGCCTAACTCTGCGAATGTCTTGTGCGACGGTATCCAAATTGTGAGCGGCTGATCGTTCTTTCCGAAATGATGTTTGACTTGATCGTCACACCCGAGAAAAAGCGATCAAATTGCTCGTTCTAATTTTTCAGTGTCTGGAGCAGATTTCACCTTAATGTAAAGAATAGAACTATAAACCTCATGATAACTTCTATATTTACTGTTTAGAAGGGGTATTTTCTTTTTTGGTGTAAGTACCTAAGTATTAACTAGGCTAGGCCCTTGTTGATGCTGGGCCCTGGTTCCGCCGAACCCTACTAGTTACGGTGCTGGTACTTATAGTAGATTACTTTACACTTTACAGTAGGTATGTATGCTATAATCTTTGAGTGAATTTAATTACTCAATGCTATAATCGAAAAATTGTTTCCTTGGGTAATATACCTGGCTTCTTGAAACTAGGCAACCCATCTAACGCAAATCTTTACGCTTTCACAAAATTCTTTCTCAGGTGTCTCCTCCAGTACGAAACAGGTTCTTCGTTATACTCGCAAAGTGAGGCCATTTGGAGTGTTGGTGCGTTCGAAGTTGTTTCTATTGTACTCGTGAGAACAAATGTGAACCTGCGGATTAGGTGATCGTTGTTTTTTTGTGTTTTGTGTGATTTAGTGAATTTTTTTGGTAAACCATGCCGTGCTCCGCAGTTACCCTCAGTTTGGCGACAATTACTTCTATTATCGCCGTTGCCTTATTAGCGATCGCTTTCGCCACCGATAATTGGTTATACATCGAAGTAAAGCGATCTAATATACAGGTAAGCTAAGATTTATTTCGCCTTTCTTTCCTTCTATTGCGTTAACACGAAGACGCAACATCGTGATTAGCGCAGTTAATTAGGAAAAAAAATTACAACCTTCGACTTTTGTAACGAAATTATCTAATTCATAAAGCGACATTGAATTATAATTAGGTACCAATTGCTGGTTTGTGGAATTTTAAGGGTGTGAAAGTTCAATTTCCCGTTTAGAAGACTGTTCAGTGAAACTTGTACAAACACCCACAATACAAATAAAGTGTTTGGCAATTATTTTGAACAGTTATTAGATTTGTGTGCGAATGCAGAAATAATCAATTAAAGCGGAATGTTTCATAAGTAACGGGTTTAAAGTTGCCTAGGTATTTTGTCTTTATTCAAACTGTTTTGGCAAGGAAAAATTAATCCACCAGCTGTTGACGGTAGCAGAATGAACGTATTTTGAATGCTTGCTGAACGGTATTCGTGCAAGAATTTTTGCGGTTTCTTCAGACAAACAATTGCGAGTGTTTGGTCTTTGCGCTCGTGTGCGAAAAGTTCTTTTGCCACCAAGTGCAGCCATACTGCAAGCTTCCGAGAAATATAGAAAGGGGATTTTTAAAAGGAATTTTTAATAAGCGGCACTCGCCTTACCGGTATGGTAGTGCAATGAATCACAAATATTTTTGTAATGAGTTCTGGTAAAAGAAGCCTTCCGGCGATACCATGATTGGCTGTGCTTGACTTCTATCGTTGTTGGTTGGTTTTTTGGCGTATTGTATAATGGCATATTGCTGCAGTAATATTTTTGCTATTTGGTGTATTATGATGTCGAGGTTTGCACCAAGGAAGGCATTTTTTAGCGCCACTTACGAAAAGGGTTATAACATATTCACTCCTGACAATTGTTAAAAACTCTGCCGTTTATTGCGCTTCTAAATCCTATACACTTTGTTGTAGTTTGATCTCGATTTTGATCCTTGATTAGCCAAAACTCAAACATGAACTCTGATGCTTAGTTTTAGCCTCGGTTTTAATTTAAGTTGTTTTAGTGATCGTTTTGGACTAAAGCGACCGAAAATCTTGATCTAACCCCAATTTCATTGGGTCTGTTGGCAGACCTGGTTATTGCTTGGGACCATTATTCATTATGAGCACGTGTTAAAAGGAAGGATTGCGCATGCGCATACCCAACTTTTTATATGAATTGATTTTTCTGAAATTTTGCTTCCTATAAAAGAAAATTGAAATCACGTGTAAAAAAGTGGATTGCGCAACACATAATTTTCACATTTATGGACGGTGGACCATTTTTTTCTGAAATGTTAACTGAAGATGCTTCCTATCGCTTCCTAATCCTATAGAAGTAAATTGCAAACAAATGTCAAGAAGTAAATTCCGCATGCGCAGGCATTATTTTCACAATTATGGTCGTGTTCTACGAAATTGTAAGAGTCAATCCGAGAGTAAATCGAAGTAATCAAAATAGCTATTTATATATCAAGTACATAAACTGGGTCTTTATGGACGAGCCGTTTATTTAGCCGAGCGAGCTTGCGAGCGAGGCACAAATAAACGAGGTATCCATTTACCTAGCTATCGCTACTCGTATCGCTATAGCGTTATAATTTATTTAAGCACTCATTACCATTTATTAACGTAAAGCTACCCAGCTCGATCATGACTTTGGACTTTCTGTTCGTCTGATCGGCGTGTGTACCTGATTATTCGCGAACGTTTTCGAATTTTGTAATTCTGTTCTTGAACTTAAAAAGTAGTTATTATTCAGTTGTTTGCTGATGACGACAGCCTTGCTGTCGAAACGCGTTGGAGGTTTTAGTATATTCCAAGGTATATTCCGAGGCGAGTTCCGAGGTATATTCGACAGTATATTATTGTGGTTTATTGGTGTTTTTATTATACTTTTGCAATGGTCAAGAAACTACCTACCTGATTAAAATTTTGGCCATTTGGACTTTCTGTCCCAGTGGCGTAGCCTCGGGCGTAGCGTAACTCGCGATCAAGGTTTGCCGACATATTCTAGGAGTCGGTGAACATTTTGAGTTCTCTAACGTTTATTAATTAAAAAGAATTCAAATGTATAATTCTATTCTGGATTTGAGTACTTTCCGAGGTACTTTCAGATCGAGCGATTTTTTGGATATAGGGACCTTAGTTTAAGTATTACTGCTATACAACTCTCGCCTCCGAATAAAATAAACCTGTAGTCCGCGAGGTAGTCCGTATCTGGGAAATTGTGGTAGTAATAGAATTTCCGAGAGAATTTCTACCCTTTTCTAGAGTGGCTATAGGGCCTGGAAGGTTGAAATGGGGGCGGGGTTCACCTCCGGACATTATATCTAAGGTTTCGTTTGATACCTATATGGTCCATAACAGATGAATAAAACACCCTACGATAAAGACAGACAGAGATACTGAAAATAGCGTATTTCTTCGATTTTTTTAAAATACGTTAAAAAGGCACTGCTTCAATGCTTCTGAATCTGAAGTGGAACCAAGGAACGCAAGAATTTCAAAGACGATAATGACATTTGAATTACCTGATGGGCATTGATTCAAAGATTGGAGCGAGATTGGAGTGAGAACAGAACAGAACTTTTTTATGTGTACCAGAAATTTCTTCGTCATGTATTTTCGCATCAGTTTTTGTCAGAAAAAGCAGCATCTTCAAATCCGTCGATGATCATCGTCGTTGCATACAAAATCAATATGCAGTGATATATCTTTACAAGATTTTTTTAATGGTTTCTTACTGTGTTTTCGCTATTTTTAAACGCGCCCCGGGATATTATTGGAAGGTAAGACCCTGCCGCCCCTCATAAAGTGCCACTGTTCTGTCCTTCCGTCTGTCGTATTCGTCGCTCGTTAATCTATATTGGTTTAAAAAACACTTTATTACTGTTTTTGTGAGGTGTCAAAATTATGTATTTAATAAAGTTGAGTGGTAGGGGGAACCAAAACGAACATTTTTTTTATTGAACTGAAAGTCCAAAGCGAGGTCCAAAGTGTTTTTAGTCCTCAAAAATTTCAAAATTTGAGTTTTTGTCTTTAGTCAGAGGTTTCCTCGTTGGTATCTTTGAACATGCAAACGAGGGCAAAATGAGAATAACATTTTTCAGTCGTATCAAAATCCACAATTTTGAATTTCATGAAATTGTAACAAATTTTGAGAGATCATAGCCAGAATTGCAGTTGGAATTTGTCGAATTTTTAACAACTCGGATCAAAACAGATCACACTTATTTTCGCGCTTCCACGCACCATCCTACGATAGGAGACTGAAAGAAAGAAAAGTATACAAAGCTTGTCGACAATTAAAATAAGAAATTCTAAAATTACTTATACTTTATTTCAATAATTTAAATCGAGATTTAAATAACCAGGCGTACTGAACTCACAAATAACACTCGCGTCAGGAAACTTCACTTTTTTTGATAACTAAATTTGATGACAAAAGCTGGATTGTTAAATAAGACGAGATAACAGAATCTTCGATAGCTTTAATTTTTAATAGGCAGAGGACCTCGCCAAAAAGAAGACGCACTGCGTTTTCAACAAAAACAAATCGGACTGACTGCTCGTAATTAGCGTAAACCGATTCACACGCTTTTTTAAACCGCCGAAAAACAAACAGCAGCAGCCGAGGCAGCAGCAGCCCCGTTTTTTCGCTGTCTCCAGTATTTAACGAAACACCAGTTCCACCAAGAAAATAATCTCTTTCTGTACGAAATTGCAAGTAAATCGCCAATCACGACGAACGCGCCAAACGTCCTCACTTCTCCAAACATCAAATCCGCAATTAACACATTCGTTACTTAAATTCCGCTCGACTCTCGGCCCGACCGCGAACGACCAGATGTGTTTACATTAAAGCATGTTATCTAAATTGAACAATTTGCAATAAACGCAAGATTATTTTCGGTGTTTAGACCGAAATAACGTCTACATGACGTTGTTTCCACAACAGTAAAAACAGCTAGTAAACGTCATCACGTCTTTTTGTTAAACAGTGCCTGCTCTAAAGTGTAAGTTTATCTTTATTTGTAAGTGGGCGGGGTTTCGGCCAACGCTGCTCTACCAACATTTTTTGCGGCTCCCGTTACAGTACCCCCTGGAAATAAAATCACCCGAACCTGAACCAATCTAATTTTGCTAAAGAACCTAATGGCCGGGTTCTCCAACAATACTTACTACTTAAGTCCGATTTAAATTTAAGGTTACTAAGCAACTGACCAACTACAAACTCGTTAAGTTTCAAATAATGTTGAAGAAACCGGGCATAAACTACATAAACAACATCCTTGTCTACAATAAAACTTAACTAATAAAAATTAAAACTACTTGCATACCAAGGTCTGGCTAAAATTCTTCATCGCCTTTTTCTTAGATACTGGTGGATTCTTCGGTCTTCCAACCATTCTTTAAAAACCTGCCACCCTGATTTGGGTGGTTAGCCAGTTAGCGTTCATCATATAATGGAATCGCCCTGGGCTTCAAGTGATGAGTTTCCATACAGCCTCCCCTATCGACTACACACTTCACCGGTGGACTCATCTCCACTATTTCTAATGGCCCTCCCATGGAACGAAAAGCTTCTGTGAAATTTCAGTGGGTCGCACTTCTTGGTGGACCCGTATATCTTATCTCCCAAGTTAAACTTCCTTAATGTGCGGTAGCGGTTCACTCTCGATTGCGTTTTTCTAACTCGACTCTTTTCGGCAAGTAATTCGTAAACCTCTGGAAGCCTGCGTTGCAGGTCTCGAGGATACTTTTCGCAAGTGTCCGTCGAACGGCGTCGTTAGCTCTCTTCCAAAGGTAAGATAGTTTATAAACAACCAGGAACACGTTATGCAAATCCTCAACCGATCCTCTTTGATTGATGTAACGCTTCAAACCAATCGATCAAAATTCAAAATTTCAAAGAAAATTAACGATTTTGTGTACGGCCCCAACCAAATCATTTTAAAATTCGAAAAAAGAAAATTCACTGTTTTTTGGCC